TCTCTTTGTGTGTGTGTGAGTGAGTGAGTGGGAGGGAGGGAGAGAGGGAGATAGATAGATAGATTGCTTCATGTTGACTGAGCTCAAAAGGTTTTGAAACTTAAAATCTGTGCAAATAAGAAATGTGTGGGATTTTAGTTGGATTCTATTGTAGTTGCTGTGTTAAGGGTGTATGGAATATCTGAGACTAAGAAATCAGAGTAGAAGTGAAAGAGCTGTGAGAGAAACTTAATCTTTATCCTTTAAAACTCTTTCAGAAGATCTGGAGAAATCATTATTTGTTACTAGTTAGGTGAATTTTTTGTGGGAGTGTTTGCAGACACTAAATGACTAAAAAGAAGTGGTATTTAGCTTTTAGGTGTAAAAATGAACTTATTTTTCCACCTAGAAGAAGCCAAGAATCAATTTTTTTGACCAACACTCCCTAACAGTATGTTTGATGGTTTTGTTGCTTTCTAGTACCCCATACAGATGATTGAGTTTAACACCTTTTCGTTAGTCTCTTATTTTCGTTTCTTATTTATTTGGCAGGTATGTTCTCAAGAAAATTCGTCTTAACAAGCAAACAGAGAAGTTCAAGCGTACAGCGCACCAGGAGGTTCGTTTTAATGCTTCTTCCATTGGTTTTTATCAGCTGAACGTGAGTGATCGTCAAATTGTTATAACTTACATAAATAGGCTGTCGATAATTTCGTATTGTGGAGCACAAATATGCCATATGACACGCGTATATTCTTTTTTTTGCACCTATCTACTTTCATTTCTATTTTGTTATTCTAAATTCTCATTCTTTTCCTTGATACATCCTTACTAACTTGAGCTTGTCACAATTGTAGATGAACTTGATTGCAAAACTACAACATCCTTATATTGTTGAGTATAAAGATGCTTGGGTGGATAAGGTATTGTGGAATATTTGTTTTGTCTTTTTATGTCGGTTGAAAGCTACCCTGAATAATTTTTCTTATGTCTTGTTTGATCTGTTTGGCAGGGAAACTATATATGCATCGTAACCAACTATTGTGAAGGTGGTGACATGTAAGTATTATTAACCTAAAATCCGTGATGAGTAAGTTCATTTTAGAATCTGCAGATTACGCCGTATCTGTTTTTTTTT